TGAAGCCCGAAGTCAGCTAAATGGCTAATGATAGCTATCAAAACGCCTGCCACTTGAAATAAATAAATGTATACTTAAACCACTCGTTCCATGTCGATTATTAAACGCCTTAATGCATTTGCCGATTGACACCCACGAGTGCAAGAAGGCGTTCTTTGTTCTCCTGTTTATCGATCCATTTGCAGTTGACTACCAATTTAAAAATACTCAAACACTTGCATTTCGTAATGTTTTTTTATTGGACCTACTTTTATCTTTAAAATGCATTCACAACTAAAAGCTAACTCAATTTCTGCTAACCTCAGTTCTTTTGGCTTGATAAGCCGAGAGAGAGACTTCGGGTCTCTTAATTTATAAACCCACATTCAATGGCCACATTTTAGTTAGCCTTATTAAACATTCAATACGCGAACAAAAGTTCCAACCTCGTGACCATTGACAAAGTGAAAGCTCAGTTGACTACTACGCCGTGTGTGTGTGTGTAGTTTACTAATGAAATAGCATTAATGAGGTGTGGGACTACCTTAAGCATTAAAGAGGGCAAATCGACAATTCCGACGAATTTTTCTTTAGTTGTATTGAAAACTGGCATTTGGAGGGGAAGAAAAGTCCCACCAAATCGCTCGCGAAGTGAGCGCATGGAATTGATGAAATTTGCCGTTGGACGATCCATCTTATTGACAAAAATCATTCGGGGTAGTTGATATCGATCTGCCTGCGACCTAATGACAAAATTCACCATAAATACTTAGAAATGACAGAAACGTAAATAGAAGAAAGTGATGCGAATAATTCGTTAACTCCAAAGGTCGACATTGACCGCTAAAAACATTCAAAATTCATGTCGGAAGCTCACCAGATTTTACTATCGTAGATTGAGTGAAATTATCTACAGCATGAAGCTTTCTGAGCCAAACTTTTCGAAAGCATAAATTCCTCAAAATAAAATTTGAAGTTTTACAAATTTGGTAACCTCAAATCTTAAAGCCCAATAACAATACGGAAATACCACAATTGGAGGCTTTTCCAGAAGAAATTCTCCGAAGTTCCTAATTCGAAATTTAGTATATTTGAAGAAAAACGTATGTAAATCTTATGAATAATTACAAGTAAGTTGTTAAGTAAATTTTGCTTGGGTAAAAATTCTTCATTTTCATCCAACAGATTGGAACCTAAGCAATAGTAAAGGGTGATATATCTGGAATGAACATGGAATGGTTACGACATTTCAACAGAATTGAACGATGCTAGCACAGGGAGGTTAATTACCCAGTATGCCAGTATGGTGAAACTAGCATTGAACCTGGTGATTAAATTTGCCAGTCTATAGAAATCCCTTTAAGAGTCTAAGTGGTGATCGTACTTTTAATTCACTGAAGATATGGCAAGTCCCCAGAAAGGAAACATTAATTGATAAAATCTAACTCAAGTACTTAACTTACCATACAGTTCGGGTCTGCGTTTCCACACCCTTACATGCATCAATAATGATGAGAGCAGAATCCACAGCTGCCAAACCTCTTTCCACCTCAAATGTAAAATCTACATGGCCAGGCGTGTCAATGAGATGGACGTCATGTTGCCGCCAGGAGAGACATGCTGCAGCGCTTACTATACTTATTCCACGTTCGCGCTCTTCTACCAAGTAGTCTGTCACAGTATCGCCTCGGTCCACTTCACCTACCGCTCGCGTCCTACCTATTAATCAGAACGTACTACTTAAATATTTCAATACGAGCATATATTCACATACAATTTAAGATGGGAGTAGCAGTGATAAGTGACTAAAATCGAGAATGTTCAGAGATTCTGAATGCGGAAGCTTCGGCACATACCAATAGAGAGAACGAAAGAGTAGATAAGTGTGATTAGTTTCAATCTTAATAGCGTCAGGATGTCGTGTCCATCCGTTGTGAGTATTAGGTAAGGAGTTGCTTGAATGAGCTCAAAGATTCTATCCCCAATAATAAGTCTAAAGCACAGGAAATATAAGAGGCAAAGAAACCGTTGTGTTCCAATACGACTTCAGCCTCGAACAGAAAATTGCTGCTACCTTAAAAGCAACTAAAATGTGAAAACGTAACACCGTCATTAGGGAACTCTAAATAGTGTAAAAATGCAAAATCTCCTTTTTAAGAAGCAATGGATCCATGGGGTGGATAAATTATTCGAGTTAATTCTGACTGACAAAAGAGCTGATGAAATTTAAACCCGATATACGATACATTTCTTCTTCCCTGGTGGGCCTGAAGAGTTTATTCCTGTATAAGCAACTGCCATTAATTAATAATTAATTGATCAATTTGAATGAAGGAATAGTTGAGCAGGCCAATACTGATCAATAGAGGTTCTCAATTAGGAGCCACTGAATCAGAATAAATTCTTTATCTATCTAAGAAAGTAAGAAAAGAAAAAAAAGAAGTTAAGTTGCTCTATTCTCAATCCCCCTGAAACCCCTAATCTATTCGACAATTCCATCTATAGGGAGACAAATGGAATTTAATCATTCAAGTCCTTCCGTGTAAAAACTAACTCTCAAGTAAAATTGGCTCAATTCTAGATGTTTTAAGAGTCCATAAAGAATTGCATCAATGAAACTAAAGCAGACAGGCTGTCATGATTAACCATGGATGGCTTTAGCATGAGGTCAAAAAACAAACAAGCAAAAGGTTATTGAGCAAAACTAAATTCCACCGAATTCTCTAACCTTGTTCCTAATTTACCAAAATTGAATTCAAAGCCAAGCTCAGCAGATCATTTCCCTTTCAAAACTATTTATTAAAAATGCCGATTAGTAAAACTGCACAATCTGACATGCAGAAATGACCAAGGAGTAGGGAAATCGTCACTTACCAGCAAAATAAAGCATACGTTCTGTGGTAGTCGTCTTTCCAGCATCAATGTGGGCTATTAGACCAACGTTTCTGATATTTTGAATGCTTCCTGGACATTTAGAAGGCTGGTGATTGAAACGCCGAAATTGAACCCATTTCGATAGTCTGGCATAACCAGAGTAGCTGGTTATACGAGATAACAGCGTCTGGAAAGGGTTGGAATTCAAGACTGGCCTTCCAAAGTTATTACAACGACCCAAGTAGAGAAGACAAGATATCATTAATTCAAGATTATATTTTCTAAATCTATACACACTGTACAAAATTATATTAATAAATGGAGGTTAATAGATTCGGTAATTAGCATAGGCACGATTTTCCTCGCACTGCTTAGAGAGTTCCTTCTTTTTGCCAATTGCAGTACCTTCATTATTTGCAGCGTTTATTAATTCGTGGGCAAGAGAAACCCAAATTCTCTGATTTTTGTCTTTATTCCGAGCAGATTCGACAATCCACTTGATAGCGATATGCATTGTATCGACATCGCGAGCAGGGGCGGGCACCTAAAGTAGTTAAAATATAAATTAGTAAATGAATAAGCTAAAAGATATTTAAAATGGTCGTACTACCTTGTAGATAAAACCACCTCTTCGAACCTTGTGGAGGACCAATAAAGGAGTGCAATTGGCGACCGCTTGATTTATAATTTTTATGGGACTGACTTCAACTGAATTTGCATCCGCTCCCGCTAGCTTTTTTCGTTTATTCATCTGCGAACATTTAGTAACAAAACAAATATCTTTACCTGAATTAGCTTAATTTCTGCAAATGTTCTACGCATAACCTCCCGGGCTGTCTCACGTTCACCATCATAGAGCATAATTCCCGTCATTTTATTTACAACAGGATCCCAATTCTTGCTTGAATGCCTCCATTTGGAAATTGGTTCGACCGTTTTATAGAGAAACACATCATTAACATCAAACGTTGTACCCAGAGGGACTAATTTTGGCTCCAGAGCACTATGGTATTTATTGCCCCTAATAGGTTGCATAAAATTACATGCAGAAGATATCTTAATAATTGGAATCAAATTTTTTAATAATGACATTTTCCGTAAATTTGCTAAAATGACATGAATAGTGAACCCCAAAAGGATCGAAATAAGCGGCGGTCAGCTGATATATCAAAAAAAATTAATATATTTCAAATGGCTTTTTGTAATCTATTGTAGAGTAAAAGTAGTAAGTTTTTTGCAATTTAAATATTAAATCTTTAAATTTTTCGTTCGAGTTATATTGAAAAATAAATTTTCTATCAACCGAAATCGGTATTCACAACATGCACTATGGTATTTACAAATAATTTTAAATGAATGAGGGTGCTTATACGGACATTATCTTATTTTTCAATTAAAGCTAGAATTTTTTGACATTAAATAAAGTATTTACGGTTTAAGTAGTAGTTTCAGGCGATCTTGATTCTACTTTCCTCAAGCCATGTTACTTTACCGGTCAAAATATTGATGGAAAGAGTAAACCGATAACTCATGAGTGAAATATACTTTTCGTGTTTTTATAATATCAAATGAATAACTTTTTATCTACAAGCAAATGCGTTATTGCGAATTCGAATTACTTGAGCAGATACTCTTAATGATGCGTAGGATAGGAGCTATGTGTGAGCGTTCAGAACCGTAATTTCACGGACATCGATTTCCATAAGTTATCGGTGTTATTAAAATGAATATAGCTTACGGCAAGCAAATTTCGGCAGAAAGAAAGACATTAATCTGTAGGATAATTGAAACGTTGACATTATCCGCATCATTTAAATCTATCGTTAACTGAAATTTAGTGGATATTATTAGATCGGCGTGGTAATAGGAATTGTAAAGGATACTTTAATTTCTAGACTAAATCACTGAGTCCCAATAATGCATGAAAAGTTGTGATTTCTAATTTTCCCCTAACACACGACTCACTTCCTCTTTTAAAGATTTTTTATTGAGCACGTTTCTAACCACTTCTCAAGTTTACGCCACAAAAAAGTTAGATTAAGTAAATTTATTTCCTAAGAAACCCTTTCGTACCTTGTCAAAAATGTAACTTAAGATGGTGACTTCATGTAAAGTGCAGTCGTATTAAAGAATAGGTAGAGTTACTATTTTTGTTTAAATAGTTCTGAGATGGCTGGGAAAACACAGCAGTATATTCATGGAAATGTTGTTTCATCGAATATCGCTAAACATCATATCGAAGCGTCGGTAGCCTTAAGTGATTATTGACATTGAAGTTAAAGAATTGCCTCATTGGAATAAGGTTGATAAGCTCCGGTGACGTCATATCGTTCCAAATCCCTAACCATAAACCGATTCTTGCGTGACTAGAAATCACTCAGCGAAATTTGTCCACATAGTTTGCAAGCGGTCCTTCTGTACATAAACCTGCTTTAATTAATGACTTTACGGTCATCCTGATGAAAAATTAACCGAATTTTAGAGTCTTAAGGTTTCTTACATTCAACCTAAATTAAAATCTAAGGCTTTTATTATTTCTAAAATGGAAATTGATGTGGAGCAGAGAAACGTAGGAAAGCAATAAGCCAAGTCACTGTTGTCATAAAAATCATGAAGAAATTTGCCTTCAGAGCTATGATATTTTATTAAGGAAAATATATTGGACTTATTTATAAAAAAATAGTTATGGAATGTCGATATTGCCTGGTCGATGTTTTTGAGGAGTATACGATAGGCTTACCTCCACCTGGTGCACCCTGGGCAACATATACTCACACGGCAAAAAAGTTCACAAGCTGACAGTTGACTTCTGACTTCAAACTACCATGACCCCACAATATGTCATATTCGACCACTTCCACAGTACTCACTTCACCTAACCTTTTCCTCTAACTTTGTGTCTCTCTATTTTGCACCTTTGAAACAATCTTCTGTCTCCCCTACCCTCGACAATTTTGACTTTGATCTCCTTCCGTGAAGCCCGAAGTTAGCTAAAGGGCTAATGATACCTATCATTTATTTATTTATTTATATCAAATGGCAGGCGTCTTGATGGTTATCATTAGCCCTTTAGTTGACTTCAGGCTTCACAGAGGGGAAGGAACATCAAATTGAAAAAAGTCGAGGGGGGGGAATAGAAGAGTGTTTCAAAGATATAAGAGACAAACACAAAGGTAGAACAAAGGTGAGGTGAATACTGTGGAAATAGTCGAATATGGCATAGAGTGGGATGATGGTAGTTTGAAGTGAGAAGTCAACTGCCAGTTAATAGACTTTTTTGCCGTATAAATATACGTTGCCCAGGGTGCACCACGTGGAGGTAAGTCTATCGCACACCCTATGATACCTATCATAATGCCTGCCATTTGATATAAATGAAAAGATTAATGT